AAAAACAAACATATGGTTCAGAACGGATTAACCGTAATTACATTGAACCTTATGGGAAAATGTGATTTGGTTCAAGACCAATTCAGTTCGTGACCAGAGTCACGGAACGAATTAAGTTCATGAACCGAGGTACCACTGTATTCTCTTCTATTGGAATCAAATGAAAGACCTATTTACCTTTTCCCCTTTTTTTACAAGTCACAAAACTATACCTATGCAACACCACCTATATTTTAGCTTAGTATATTGTGCAATATTGGAGGTGTATTAAAGTTTTGAAGTGTAATATCCAATTTAACAAATTTTTGTTGTGATATAAATATAAAAAATTAAGAATTAGTGCCTGCCCTCTTCCTTTTTTTATTGTTTTTATTTAATCTTTTTATACTGTAATGTCTGAAGGCAGAGACAGTCTAAGATCCTATCTGGCCAAAAAGCAGGAATATATACAAGCAATCTAGTTTGATGTTAATATAAAACAAACAACTCCTGTAAACCTTCAAACTCATGGTTTAACTTTTTGAAAGTTACTTTTAACTTTAGAAGTTCTTCACAGATATGCCACATAGTAAAGATCACTTTAGTATTACAGACTGTAAGAAATTTATAGTGTGTTAATACTCTTTCACATAGTTGGGTTTATTTAATATGATAAGTTAAATATGCTGGAACAGTTGATAGATCATAGTATTGTGTGAGCCCAGATAGTAGTTTATAGTGTATTGTTCAATAAACCCTCATTCAGTTAACCATGATTATGCATGTCATGCATAGATACTCTGCATGCAAAATAGTGGTACTTTTGAGAGGTTAAGCCAGGAGTACTGTCTCCCTTTTACAGTCTATTCATAATTTACTAGTGTACAAAACACAAAATGAATATTCAAATTAATGCTTTAGTCCTACATGGCTGCTCTTGTGTCTTGATATATTGTCCTCCACATATCTTCCGGTGGAGCCATAATAATCTATGCAAACAGCAATAAGAGTTATTTTTTTAAGACACAACCAATAAAATATCAAAACAAGTATGACATTAAAAGTCCTTGATAAATAACAGTTGTAAGCCCCCTAAACTAGTAAACTCCAGTAGGAGTTTATTTTCCAGTTTGCCCTCCCGTTGGAAAAAGCAAACTATTACTGACATTAAATGTGTCCAGAAAAGGTGCCTGTTGATATGAGAGGGTGGAAGGACAGTACAGAAGTAGGTATTCGGGCAGATAAGCGGGCCTAAAACTGTACGGTTTTAAACTCCACCAGGAGCCCCTTGCATTTGGCTCAAGAAACCAGCCCACTAGCCCCGGGTAACTCTGTTTCAGCGTGTGAGATAATACGGGGCTTTCAGAGGCACCACTCACCATCCGCACTGCCATATTCTGAGCCAGCTAATTTCTGGATCATCTTCACAGGCCTCTCCGTGAACAACACAGTACAAAGACCTAGCCTTGAAGCCACGTTTCGTAAGCTTCGGAAGCCCGTCTCTTTCCTCCAACGGCTCCGGCTAAGCCAGCCGAAGGGAGGCCCTCCTTGACACCAGCGTTGTATGGCAGACCAAGTCAGTGCTGGGCCCCAAACTCTTGACAAGGGAGTGGAGCCCCATTCAGATAGGAATGTGTTTTAATTTTACTTGACACTCTCGGTATTTTTTTTTTAAATAAACCACCTTCCAAAGGAAAGTAAACCAAAGTCACTCAGACTACTGCAGACACGCTGTAATCCACAAAAGATCACGTGATAAAAATGACGCCGCCTCATCTTTATGGGCATTGCCGGTCTACTAAAGATTTTTTTTTTTCCCTATAGAGCGTTATCACTCTGAGCCTGTAAGATCTCTGTGGAACTTCTGACTATGCCGCTCTAGCCCTTAGCTCTTTTTATTTTCTATCAACACTTCCGCTGGGAAAGGGAGAGCGCATTGATGAGGCTTGTTGTTTTGTTGGGACCCTTCCCAGGATGAAGTCATTATTCTTGTATGAAAAGCAAAATTGTACTCATTTCTCGCTTGGCGATACTTCTAGCGCTGCTGGAAATGTAGTCAGCCAATTTATTTGCTTGCCCCCCTTTTTCAACATCAGTTGGTATATTCCAAGATGGCGTAATTGCACCAACGAGATCGGGAAATAAGAGCGGCGGCTTGGGAAAACCGATCCTTTTCCGGAGCCGGAAGGACGTGAAGCAGTAGGGCCTGTCAGGTGTGGAGTTGTCTGTTTGGGAACTCGCTCGCGACTTTCGTAAACCCTTCGGCGCGTGACGGTTATACGTGTCGGAGAGCTCGCACCATGGTAAGTGGCTCGTGAAGACAGGAGTTCAGGCGCGACCAGGCTGGTAGCCTTGGACTGCAGTTGTCAGTTCTCCGACCCTTTTATGGAGGAAGATGGGGACCAAACTAAGCTAGCTTGAGTCTTAAATTTAAAAAACAAAACCAAGAAGTAGATGTGGAAGATAAACAGACATAACCTTGGGAAAGAAATGGAGAGAAATGTCAGGGAATTCCTCCTCCTATCACCTCTCACGTGGCATAACATTTGTGAACTTGCTGTAGCTTTCAGGGGACTTTTCGGGATGGGTGAAATCCAGCGAAATTCTTATAGAGGCACCAGCACATTCAGGCACCAGCGCATAATTTCACGTAATGCCATGCAAGCATTGTATCTGGGGCTGCATTGCTTGGAAACCACAGCTAATTTAAAGATGCAGCTGTTAGACTCTGCTGAATGGGTAGTTAATGAAAATGGTATGGAATCAAGAACAGCTTGCCATTTGAAAACTTGTAATAAATGAAATGGTGGATGCATGAGCAGGTGAATAGGATTTTGCCAGCAGGAAGCCTCCCACAGATATCCAAGTGGTGACACGTTCTGGATGCTACACATATTTTATGGCTTCACATAGCAACACTGAAAAACCTATCTGTTTACAGGAGACTGGTAAAGTTAATTGCAAATTGCACGTGATATGGGACCTGTATAGGAAAAAGTAATCATGACTATATCAACTTCTTTGAAGTTGCCTGTCTTCTTTCATGAAGATTGGAGCAAATGTGACACTTGGAAGTGTATGTTCACCTTACTTTCCTAAATGTTGCTAAGGTGGAGTCCTTAAAGATATAAATAGTTAAATTCTTATGCTGAAGGCATTGTCCTGGCTGCTGATTTGTTTCTTGATGAGATATAAATTATTTATTATTACTTTTAATATCCAAATGGTTTGGGTTTGGGTTAACTGAGAAAATGCCTTCGTTATCATTTCTACTGCCCCCTCCCCATACTCTGAGATCATGTAAGATAGTTCATCTGCTCTGCTGAAGGCTTGTCCCTTGGCAACTTGAAGTTCAGTCTTCTCTATACTCAAGTTCATTGGAGTTGTGGAATCTAACTTCATTGTTTGCTTTTTAGGAAGGCCTTCCAACAGATCTTTTTGGGAAGGCCTCTTATTTTAATTTTAATTATCATTAATATCTATTTTTACAATTTTGGCTTTGATTTGGTTTTATGCCTTTTATTATAAACTGAAGAGATATTTTGGTAGTATGTGATATATAAAGTCAAGTAACTTGAGAAGCCATCAGGATCTCCTACAAGAGATAACAATAAAAGTATCAATGAGAAAAACATTCAGTGTGGAAATTCTCTGCAATGGGGTGATCCAAACATATCTGTGCCATTACATATCTGAAACATCACAAACTACTTTGTGTTCTGGACAACCCTAGAAACACACAAACCATCCCAACAAAATTCAGATCAATCTGTTAAAACCTGACAAATTTTAAAAAGCTAAAAGAATTCTAAATATTTAGTATGCATCAGTTAACTAGATAAAGAATATATATATATATATATACATACACACACACACACACACACACATACACACACACAGTCTATATGGCTGCCCAGCTTGGACTATGTGCCTCTGGGCAGTGAAGTGTCGTGCAGAGTGATAATCACAAACACCCCTGTTTGTGCAGAGCGCAGCAAAAACTCCCGGAAAATATTAGCCATAAAAGCAAACACATCAACAGCTATTCACAATGCAA